TTTTGTTCTTCGATGCTACTTGCTTCAGGCAAATTTAATCAGATATAATCAGATTCGTCAGCAACTTATCATATAATCAATTGCATTTTCATATAGAACATTTACTATAAGCAGCCAATCAAATTTCAAAGATTGACAACCAATCAAATGGATTTTCAACTATGCTGTAAACCACTGAATTAAATTGGTCTCGCCTTATAGTCACAATGCTATAATACCATTATATTGAAATACTATATTGCTATTGTATCTATAATGTAATGCTGCAAATAACATATAATATTATAGAATAATATTCTGCTAGTGTTTATTGTTTAAAGTAATTTTTAGAATTAAGATAATGCATAGTAAATTTATTGGTTTTGTAAATAGGTAATCATCGATCATCAAAGTTCATAGTGAAAGATTTAAAATTTTTTTTTATTGTTCAGTCAATATTATTTCCTATAACTGGAAGTAAAGTTTGTTTTCGAATTATCCTAAAATAAAAACTTGTTTTGGGATGTTCTAAAAATTAAGATTAGTTATTAGTTTAAAGAAATTGGTGTTAAAAACAATAAACACAAAGCATTCAAATATTATCAAAAATCTGGTAGTAATTTAATTTTAAACTATAACACTAACTCTAACTAAAGCTAAGTGTTTAATTATATAATTAAGTTCCATTTCTCTAAACTACCTGAATTAAACTTGTTGGTGCTGGTAAAATGGGCATGTTGATAATTAACCATCAGTGATTTAAATGTCTATTATATAAACTTTTTGTAAAGTCTTGTGTTTACAAAAGGAGTATCAGTTAAGTGAAAAGAACTACATCACAAAGTTGTTTTTATGTAGAGTTACGTAGAATAATTATGTAAAGTTATGTAAAATTTTTATGTAGCTTTATAAACCCAATGTAGATTTATATAGCTATTTATATAAATCTATATATATCTATATAGAATTATGTAATATATCAAAAAATTTTAATTTAAATATTAAAGCTAGAAATAGATTTAAGCTTAAACTAGGGGTTTGGTGAGGTTTTCTGGCCTACTAAATATTTTTTACTTAGTATATCGAACACTGATTACCTTAGTCATTTTTGAGAAATAGCCAAATTAAATTATTATAGATATAAATAGAATTTATATAATTTTTATATTTATATAAATAATAAATAACATTTATATAAATATTATATTAAATTATATATAAAAATTCTATCTATGTAAGTCTACATTGGGTTTGTAAACCTAAATAAAAATTTTATATAACATTTATATAACTTGATAGATCTATGTAATTTTTATAAAAAAATGTACTTGGTGATCCATTAGTATTTAGTAATTCAAATTTCATTTGCAACAAACTTGCTCAAAATATCTTTTGCTATAATACTGATGGGAAGACATGTGCAGGTATAGTTGGAAATAATAACATTATTAGTAATATAACTTTAGGAAATTGTACAGGAAAAGAAAGTTTTGATGATGTAGCAAATTACTTAGCAAATATTAGTGTTAAAGATGGAAATACTCATGTACCTTGTACAGGTACTAATTTTTGTTCAGACTTGGATTGTTGGGTGGGATAATGAAGGGTGGATATGTCATAATCCTAATTTTTTACATAATAGTGATTATACCAATCAAAATTGTTTCATGCAATTAATTACAAGCTCACCAACAATTAATTCAACAACTAATTCAACAACTCCTTCGACTATTTCTAGTTCTTCACCTACTTCTAGTTCCTCTACAAAAATTTCAGTTATTATTGGCTGTTTGATATGAATTATTGGAATTGCTATATTTATAACAATATTTTATTTTTTTTGGCAAAACCATTGTGTTTAATACGATTTTGCATCTTGAAATTATGTAAAATATTATATTAATAATTATGTAAAACATGGATAGAATGAAATTCAGTTTCTATGTAGATCAAACGAAAGTAGTCAGTTAATAAAATTATTAGAAGACATAATAGTATTTCATTGTCCGAAGCTAGTAGAAGAGATTTTTTATTTAGTATTGGTTTGTTAGTAAAATTGAGCTATTTTAGGCGGCTTTTTTGAATTTTTTTTTACCAATCATTTGTATAGCATAACGATAAGTGTTGAGGATCTATACAATAATCAGTGGCATGATATTATAACGATAATACATAGTCTATCATAGAGTTGGGCACCGAAACCCGAAACCTCTTCGAAACCTTAAAATTAGAATGTTAATAACTAATGTACATTTACTATAAAGTAACCAAAATATTCTGAAATGCAATCTAATTATCATGTACTTTATGTATTAAAGTCTAAAATTAAAATTCTAACCCTTTTAGTATAGTATAAAGTTTCGGAAAAGGTTTCAGGGTTTCGGAAAGGGTTTCAGGATTTTATATATAGTTTCGGGTTTCGTTACCCAACTCTAGTCTATCATGATCATGCTATTCTCTAAGTCGATGGGTTCTCATTTGGCCGGGTTATTTCCTCCATGGATGGAAATATCGTTTTGTGTGAAGTCATGACGACTTTTAATCATCCCTTAATCAGTAAATAGAACTAATTTCCGAAAACGCTTATATTATATACTTTTATCTAGAGAAGATAATCGACTCACTGTTTGTATATTTAAGATAATGCAATTTATAACCAAAAAAAGGTTTCTAAATTTGTTTATCTAGGAAATTTTAAAATCAAACTTAAACATGATATACCAACAGAATAAATTTACTTCTATTTCAAAAAGGTGCAAACATTATATCATGGGAAATCCACACGAATTCCTTGATTACCTCGATTACCTTTGATTTTCCTTATTGCGCGGAATCAAGGAAATAAAGGAAATCAGGGAAATCATCTAGTTTTCCCATGATATAGTGGTTTGCATCTGGTTACTAGGGTTGTAAATGGAGCAACATACTCCGGTGCAACCCGGTGTCACCATCAAGTTGGGAGAGCGTCAGATAGGTTAGTGCCAAGATAGTTCAGGATGGTGACTAAAGAAAAGGGTTGAATGTACTTTATAGTCATCACTCAGAATCGTGATGAAACTCAAGATTCCTATGACGATTGAAACATTTATGAGGAACGGACATTTAGACAGTTAATTTATTAGAAGGGACGAGTCATGAGAATTCTCCTTATTAGGAGAGGAGTTCAGAGGGCATACATCTTCTCTACTCTAACATCAGAGGGAGAGCTAACATTTATATACAGGTGTAGATATCATTGAAGAGACATCGTATGATCCTCCTCAATGACACTATCCTACAAAACACAATTTTCTATCTGACCATTAACCTATCAGAATTAAGGTTGGAATTAAGGTCCGTATATAATAAACAATAAATATCTAAATCTAGTAGTTAAAATGTAGTACTGACTGTCGATTTAGGAAACCTGTAATTTCCAACCAACATTTCTTATGGAGTCTAGAACTAGGGTTGGGGCACAGGAAAAATTTTGGGCATGCCCCTGGGGGCATGCCTCAGGCTGAAGCATGCCCCTCTTATCATGCCTGGTGTTACTATCTTTGGAAGAGCTAAAAATAATTGATGTACTGGTTTAGAGCAGGACAGTAAACAATATAGGTCAGGAATATTAATGGTTATGAAGGGATATCGGGTGAGTACGGCGCAGGCCCGTAAGATACTTTTAGAGTTAATGGTGTGGACAATGTAGAAAATAATAAAGAATCGAATCTAATATAGATTGATTGATGTATGCGAGTTAATATTTAATAAAGATTCAAGAATGAGTATAAGAGTGTGAGAATTCGAATAAACAAATAAGGGTTTATAAGTTGCCTACTAACTTATAAGGTTCAGATTCTTATTTGAGCAGATCGAAGTCTCACGCTCTTATACTCATTCTTGAATTTTTATTAAATATTAACTCGCATACATTAATCGATCTATATTAGATTCAATTCTTTATTATTTTCTATATTGTTGTTGTTACTATATATGGTCTTCTAATCTGCACGCCAGATTACTTATCCATATTCTTATACTCCCACACTATTAACTCTAAAAGTATCTTATAGGCCCACACCGTACTCACCCAATATCCCTTCATAACCATTAATATTCCTGACCTATATCATTTACTGTCCTGCTCTAAACCGGTATATCAATTATTTTTAGCTCTTCCAAAGATAGTAACAATTGGTGCCAGTTGTGTGGACTTCGAATAACATACTTCAGATCTACTGTATGAATAATTTCGAACAACACTCCAGAAACAACACCAAACACAATCAACAACATTATATTTTTGGCAAAAACCCTCAAGCAAATCAATATCTGATAGAACATTACCCCGACGATTCGTGTATTGTCTGCTACCCCCTCAAGAAGGACAACTAATTCAATTTGCCAACTTTTGGAAGTGGTTTAGTTTAGTCCAACTGGTCTTCTTATACTCTTAGATTTCTATAATCAGTTTCAACATTTTTCACAATTTTCCCATCGGAGAATTTTTGGAAGCTTCATTAAGAAGATTTTTCTTCAGTTTTCGTTTCTACGAACAACCAGATGACTATCCAACCTTATTAAATAAGTTCTTAACTCTTTATCAAGAAACTGATCAGTTCTTGAAAGACCTATTTGAAGATGCTTATAATTAAAGTGAAACTTCTGAGGATGACTTTACGTGTATCTTTGAACTTCTTGACGAAATGGCTTAAAGAAATAATATTATAATGCCCCAAATCCTAACAACCCATGGAAAACATCACTCAACAGATAAGAGCATTGGTAAATCAGATGCAGCAAGCCCCTCCTCTGCAGATCAATGTTGCACCTTCCCAATTTAACATTCCACAAATAAATATTCTAGCCCAGAATCAGGAACTTAATTTTGTCTTATACTCTAAGTTTTCAGGTGGGGAACAAGACCCAATTACTTGGTTGGAAGATGCAAAAAAAGCTTTTGAAGCCAATCAGGTTCAAGCCAACTGAAAAATTTCGATAGTAGTTTCTAAACTTAAGAGTGCAGCTGTCATCTGGTGGATGAGCGTTAGAAATCAATCTTAGCTTGTCGATAAATGGGATGATGCTAATAATCAGGGCCAGAGTTTCAATCCCACCTTTATAGCCAACTTTAGAACACCTGCTTTTAGAAAGTAAATGGTTCGCCCAACTCACTTAATGCAAGCAGCTCTCCTCAGAAGATGTAGATACTTATCACGTGGCCATTAAAGAACTTTTACGATGGGTAAGAGCTGGTAGACATCGTTACCCAGACACTGCTAAGGCACAAATATTTATTAGCAGATTAAGGCCTGACCTGGCTGCCTCAGTCACTCCTTTTCTATCTGAGATACTTGCAGCAGCTCATAAAAGAGCAAAGACATTTGAAAATTCCTATAAACAAAATTTGGCCAACTTTAATGTTTTCTTGAGCCCCTCTTTCTACTCTTAGCAACACATGCTTTCCCAAACACAATTCCCATGCCAAACCCTACTGAAGAGTCCTCATAAAATTGACTGAAGCTGTTAACAACATGATGGGTCAGTAAAGAAGGTTAAAAAAGCTCCAAAGAGAAACTGGAATAATTGGAACAATGTACCGTGAGAACCCTGTTCCTGTTGTGGACAAAATAGACATTTTGCTAGAACTTGTTCGAATCCCTTGAGAAGAGACGCCAATCAAGTTAATTCCCCTACCCAAGCCAATAATCAAAATTCTAATCAAAATAACAACTGTAATCCTCAATAGGCAAATAATAATAATATGAAGGCTGCTATGCAAACTCTGTTAAATTTAATTAACCCAAACTAGCCGGAACTAAGGCTCAGGCCTTTTTAAATTTTCATAAAGAACTTCCTTTATATGCAATTGGAGAAAAGCTGGTAAAACCTATTCATATAACTAGGCTCAAATGCCAATGTACTTAGGAAGATTTGGGTCAAGAAGCTGTGCCACCGAAACTGTTGAAAACAAAACAGTTGAACCGGTAAAGAATAAAAAGGATAACACCAAGCTGGTAGTCATCCGAAAAAAAAGAACTGAGAATGAGCCTCTACAAATTTTGGCTCTCGTTTCTCTCTACTCGATTGTCGCTAACATTTGGGATAAACTAGCCAATATTACTGTGAGACAATTACTAAGGGCGATTCCTTCAATGTGTACTGAATTATTAAAGAGTCTCCAGAAAAAGAAGTTGACTAAAAGAAAAAGTCATGCGTTTGTTAATATTTAGCTAACTCCTAAAGCCACAGCCCTTTATTGTGATACTTCTGTTAATAGAATGGTCATCCCATTAATAGTCGATAGTGGTTCTTCAGGCAGCATTGTTTCAACTCTCTTCCTTCAGGAGGTAGGTATAAAAGTCAAGAGGCCATCTATGGTTAACATGATAAATATTTATGAGCAAAGTAGAAGAGCGATTGGAGAAATCTCTAGTTTCCCTTTTTTAGTAGAAGAACTGACAGTCCCTGTTGACATTGTCATCACAAATGCCTCTTCCTACAAAGCTATTGTTGGAAACAACTGGCTTTCCAAAGTCAATGCAAAGATTGACTATACCAACTCAGAAATAAGCTTCATTTGGAAAGATGAAAGGGTTGTTGTTCTGTTAAATTCTGAAAGCTGCAGCATATACTCTTACAGGAGAGTCATTCTATCCAAATAACAAAACGTAAAGAAGAATCTAAGTTAAAAGAAGAAGAAGAATCTGAAAGTGAATATAAAGATGAAGAATTAAAAGACCAAATCTTTGGTTATTCTGAAGATGATGAATCCTTGTTCCACTGTTCCCACTTTTCTTTTAACTCATACCAAGATTCCGATAAGGAATCAAATTATTCTAACTGCAATATCCTTCCTCCTGGTCTAAGTAGCCATGAGGCTTGGTGGAACCTAGACAGTGATGATGATTATCTAAATGAGAACATCTATGAATTAACTCCAGAAAAGTCTAAAGAGAAAGAAGATTTTTATCTCAACAAAGTTGAGGAGATTCCCTATGAGTTAGACATCGATAAACTTAACTCGGAAGATGATAACTTGTTGCAATGGCTGCTGTCAACTTATGATGACATCTTTGCCTGGACCTCACAAGACTTGGGGCATACAAATTTAGTTACCCATAGAATTTATACTGGAGATGTCGCTCCTATTAGACAAAAACCTTACCACATCTTTTCTAAAGAAAGAAAGTTCCTGGATGAAGAAATCAGTTGTATGTTGTACAAGGATATCATCCAACTCTCTGACAGTCCATGGGCTTCTCCCATTGTTTTGGTTAAGCAGAAAGACAAGACTCAATTTTGTATTAACTATCGTTGAGTAAATGCTGTGACAAGAAAAGACAGCTATCTGTTGCCTCATATTGATAACCTTCTTAACACCTTGGCCAATTCTGCCTGGTATATTTCACTTGATCTTGCTAGCGGTTATTGGCAGATCAAAATGCACCCAGAAGATCGAGAAAAGACTGCTTTCACTTCCCAATACAGAATATACGAATTCAATGTCATGCCATTTGGCTTGACTAATGCTCTAGCCACCTTCCAACGATTAATAGATACTTTCTTAAGAGATATCAATGGCAAATTTGTTGTTGTCTATCTAGATAATATCAACATCTTTTCCTCTATGTTTGAAAATTATCTACTTCACTTGGAAAAAGTTTTTTAGCAGCTCAGGAATGCAGGTTTAAAATTGAGCCCTTGTAAATGTTACTTAGCCAAAAGAGAACTTAAATTCTTAGGCTATACTATTGGTCCTGATGGTATCTCTACTAACCCTAAAAAGGTAGAGCCCATTAAAAATTTTTTGGTTCTGAAAAATCTTCAACAAATACAGAGATTTCTAGGCCTCGCGTCTTATTACCAAAGGTTCATTCAGAATTTTTCAAAAATTGCTGCTCCACTCAATCTCCTTTAAAGAAAAACACCAAGTACAAATGCACTTCTAAACAGGATGAAGCATTTAAGATTTTAAAAAGAAGACTCATATCAGCTCCTATCTTCGCTTACCCAGATTTTTTAAAGAAGTTTCTTCTTTTCACTGATGCTTCTGGATCTGCCCTTGGGGCTATACTTTCTCAGAAAGATAATAAAAATAGAGAAAGGGTCATTTATTATGCTAGTAGAACCATGACCAATGTGGAGAAAAATTACTCTGTTACTGAACAAGAATGCCTGGCAGTCGGCTGGTTGATTTCTAGTACCTCCACAGCTCTCATTTCACTCTTATCACCAATCATTCGGCTCTTAAGTCCTTACTGAAATATAAACTTCCTCAAGAACATCCTGCTAGATGGATCCTTGCTCTTTAAGAATACTTCTTCACTATAGTCCACCATGCTGGTAAACAACATTCAAATGCCAGTAGTCTTTCTCATCTTATGAAATTCCCAACCAGCTCTCTGAATTCTGACTATCTATTGCTATCCCCAAACTACTATTTTTTTTATTATTATTTTTTTATTTTTATTTCTTTACTTTATATTTTTTATACTTATTTTACATATCAGTATGGAGCTACAAACTTATCAACTTCTCCTTTGCTACCTAAGCAACCCAAAAACTTAGATCCCTACTAGTTGAAAATTTTGAACAATAAACCTGACATTTCACTATTGAAAACAACCTTCTATATAAGAAACATTAAAGAGACTATAATCAACTTTTAAGAGTATTATTACCTCACGAGACCGAAGCAATACTTTTTAGTATGTATTTAGACCTATTGTCAGGATATTTCAATTATCTATCTATATTCCAACATATCGCACTTAGATATTTTTGGCCCCAAATAGGTGAAGATATTTGAAATTACATTAAGTCATGCGATGCTTGCCAACGTTTGGGCCGTTCAAGAACTAGAGAACCTCTTTATCTTATAAAAGCTAGACAATCATTTGACAGGGTTGGGATTGATTTGGTGAGACCCTTGGTCCCTACATGACAAGGCAACCGCTATATAGTAGTTGCTGCCGAGTACCTTACTAAATGGCCTGAGGCTCGTGCAATATCTGATGCCACTGTAGCTTCAGTTGCCTCATTTCTCATAGAAGATATTATTTGTTGACACGGCTGCCCCAAAGTATTATTGTCGGATAGAGGTAAACATTTCAACAATCATTTAATAGACGCCATTGCTAACCAGCTAAAATTTCATCACTATTATTCTACTATCTATCACCCTCAGACCAATGGGTTAGTAAAATGGTTTAACTGAACATTATGCAAAGTATTGTCCAAATGCACTATTCAATTCTCCGAAGATTGGGATCAATATATACCTCCAGCTTTATTTGTCTACAGAACTACTAAACATTCTACTACTCAACATAACCTGTTTTTCCTCATGTATGGTAAAGATGCTATACGGCCTAATGATGTAATGGCTTCAACTCTGGCCCTCTTTCCAGCTAGCGAAATTGAGTTACAAGAAAACTTTATGAGACGAATAAAGGTCTTACTTGGTGATGTACCAAGGGTATGAAAAGAGGCTCAAGATCGAATTAAGAAGTTCCAGAAGAAACAACAAGAGAGACATAATCAAAAATTTCTGATCAAAACCTACTCTATTGGAGACCATATTTTGAAATATCGATCTGAACTTCTGGGAACCCACAAAGGGAAACTGGAAGAAAAATGAGTTAGACCTTTCTTTATCTACGACATCTTGGAACATGGTGTTTGCAAACTTCGATCCTTCGATGATCAAGTACTGAAGCAAAAAGTTCATGGTAACCGATTGAAGTTATACCATGGTAACTTTCTTGTTAGTTCCTTGCAGGAGCTCGATTTTAAGAAGAGGAGTCTGTTACTAGAAGATTTCGATTGATTTTCCAAGGCTTTTCTAACCCTTCTTCGATTGATTAGACTTGTTTAGGCGATTGTACTACTTTTTCTTTTATCTTATTATTATGTTTTATTATTTCTATGTTATTCTTTATTGTTATCTATATTGGTGTCTTGCATTCCCAAAACCTTTATTTATTATCAAAAATCTGCCGTAGAACAAAGTGTTCTATAGTATATTATTCTATATTTAGCTAAGTCTTCTCTGGCATTGTTAGACCGATTTGTTTAGGACTTAGATATAACAGGGAAAATCTTTTAGGCATAATTAGATCTACACTATTCCTATTTTAGTGAGTGATAGTTTACTTGTGAATATTTCCCAATTTGGAATGTTGGTTATCAAAACTGCCGTATGAAGTTCAAAGAATTACTTGACGGCCAAGAATTGTAGAGATATTGATCATTGAGGTGTTGTATGACAAGATGGAAAAAGATAGAAGAATTTAGAAGGTTTCCAATGAGCAAGGAATAGATTTGTTTATAGCACTCAATGATTTAGATATTTTAAAAGGGAATTCATAAATTTCTTCAATGATGGATTTGTATAACAAGAGATTTAGATTCTTGTTATCACGCAGAGATTTATTGCTGCATATGAAAATTTCACATGTATTTAAACCTTGACTTTTCGCCTTAATAAAGATTTCTCAAACTTCGATCTGCTCAAATAAAAATCTGAACCTTATAAGTTAGTAGGCAATTCAAAGCCGAAGACAACTTATAAACTCTTATTTGTTTATTCAAATTCTCATGCTCTTATACTCATTCTTGAATCTTTATTAAATATTAACTCGCATACATCAATTGATCTATATTAGATTCGATTCTTTATTATTTCCTACATTGTTATTGTTACTATATACGGTCTTATAATCTGCACGCCAGATTACTTATCCATATTCTTATACTCCTACACCATTAACTCTAAAAGTATCTTACGGGCCCACACCGTACTCACCTGATATCCCTTCATAACCATTAATATTTCTGACCTATATCATTTACTGTCCTGCTCTAAACCAGTACATCAATTATTTTTAGCTCTCCCAAAGATAGTAACACCGGGCATGCCCCTATATATATAATAACCTCCATAAGTGTGCCCTCTATAAGTTACACCCTCTTTAAATGCGTATTGAAGTTCTGGTCTAAATATATACATGCCCTTATAAATTGCTTTCTTCTTATTAATCTCTAAGTGCACGCTGTTAAAGCTTGGTCCCAGAGCGTGCACTTACTGTATATCATAAATTATAGAACTCTACAAGACAATCATACAAAATCGAGTCATCTCTAATAAAATAGGTAGCCAATCAATTTGCATGATTCTGACTTATAATCACATGTAATCACATGATAGGGGCATGCCTTTTGGCTCAGAAACATGTCCTGGGACACCATGCCCCAACCCTATCTAGAACCCGATTTGTACGAACTGTTACAAATTGATTGTCACACTGAATTATACTCCAATTTAAGATTGAAATGGGTTGGGATTTTAAGAATTATATAATAACCCGGTGCGTAGTTATTTCTTATAGGATGACCTGGAGCAAAACCCGGGTTGCTCCATATGGAGTGGTCTGGAGCAAAATTATGAATAACAAATGTCGCATAGATTTGAGTAACCTGTGGTTTAGAAGCAGATCAGGTTCGTGTAACTTATACGTGATTGATCCTCAAGTAATATAAATAGAACAATTGTCTCAGCAAAGAAGTCAGAAGAGTTTCAAATTTTAATATCCTAGAACTTGAATAAAGAAACATCTAAACTATAAACTATGTTTGCATATGGTATTCCTTTAGGAAGAATTACCTGAACGATACATCAGTCATCGTAAAATTCCAAGCGAGTGAATTCTACTTATTTAGAGAAAATCACAAAAAAAAATTTTTAAAGTATGAAAGAATTCGAACAATTTACAGTATAATAGTCACCTAAGTGACAGTAAACAAAATTGAAATATCATATTTTGAATATTTAGTAACTTGACTATAATTGGTTAATCGACCTGACCCAAATAAATTTGAATGAACATAAAAGACGAGTAAGGTTGAGACAAAAATTTGAGCAAAGCTCCGAGAGTTTCCAAAGGTAGTAGAGATTTTTATTTTCATAATTCCTGAAACATCTGATAAAAATTGGCTAGATTACAGTATTATTCGGCCAATTCAATTTAGTTTGTGATTGGCATGATCTGTATAATAAAATCTATTTTGTATTATAACGATTATAACGATAACGTCAACATTGTTAATTTTCGTTCGAATGTTTGTCTAACTTTTGTGTGTCCTAAAGTTTGCATGAAAGTTAAAACTGCGCTTGTCAACTGATAAACCTTAGCAAGAAATATCAGATATAAATTGGGCTTTTATATCATGAATTTGTCGGCTTATTTAGAAATGTATTTCACCAAACGATCAAAATTTTATTATATTTGTTGAGAATATGAGAATTACATGAAGAATTATGATAAACAAAATCAAAGTAGAAAATTTATATACTGTATAAATTACTTTTTTTATATATAGATCCAGGTCGTGTATAGCCTTCAAAGTTCCATCTCAAATTGTAATTCATACGAATACCAGTCAGGTTTTCTCTCAATATTAAAGTTTTAATATGTTTACATCGTTCATGTTTAGTGAACATGGTTTTCCTAAAAGCTACGGGAGTGTTTCAACATATTCATGTCTTTGAAACTGCTTAGGAACCTGACTTATAGAAGATATACTAACACCTAAATTTTTTTTTCAGTGAAGCTACTTTGAAAGTATCACTTTCTGTATTCCCGTATTCATGAGACAGTATTTACATAATATTTATATTAGTCACTTGATCAATTTTATTGAATCTATTATCATTATTATTATTGCCAAAATCACAAACTTAATCGGATCGGCCCAAGCATCATTCAGTTCAGTCAGGTGTTCCAGATGAAAATAGTGTAACCGGTTGTCAACCGGCTGAATAAAATAATTCAGTTCGGTTAACAGATTAAGGAAACTTTTTTCGGCTCAAATCACTATGAATATTTAGATAATTAATTGTTTTTTATACTCATCGGTCAAGTATAATGTCAAAATTTTTTCAGGGTACTGTAAAAGCTGCTCGATACGTAAGTATCAATCTCGAATCATCACGAGACCAACATGTGATATCTCTGATTATGTTCGGTCTAATGATCGATCAAGTAATCGATCAGTAATGTTAGGTAAGTATGAAGTAATGGGAAAGTTGAAATAATTAGTGGAGTAAGTATGAGGCAATTAGTTAGTGTATAGGTATATTAGTAATTGATGAGGTATGTAGGAGAAATAGTTTTGTTTCTTTTGCGAACCCGACTTCGTTCTGGTTACATCGACCCTCCCTACCTAGTAAGTTTTTTCCGGAGTGGCCTGTCGTGACGACAGTCATATGAGGTGCTAGAGTTGATGTGATTGTTCTTAGCATATGGCCTGTTGGGACGACAGTCATATGAGGTGCTAGGGTTGATGTGATTGTCCTAAGTAAGGATAGGAATCAGTCAGAAATTTTTAGTCGATTAGTCAGTCGACTAAATCTGTTAATCGTCGACTGGCTAATCAATTAATCGATTAGTCGATTAGTAAGTCAACTAATCTGTTATTTAGATATTATATAAACAATAGTTAGCCAATTAAATTTGTCTATTAACCTTTGATTAACTACGTATAATAACTATTATTAGTTAATTATTCAATCTGATTAGTCAATTAGTCAACTAGTTGATTAGTCGATTAGTCGACTAGTCGGATAGTTGAATAGTCGATTAGTCAATTAGTCAATTAGTCGATTAGTCGACTAGTCAACTAATCGAAAAAATTTAGTCGATTAGTCGACAAATGACTATATGATTCCTATCCTTAGTCCTAAGCATATGGCCTATCGAGACGACAGTCATTCAAGGTGCTAGGGTTGATGTGATTGTTCTAAGCATATGGCCTGTCGGGACGACAGTTATTTGTATAAGTTCTAATCAAAGATGGCGCCGAAACCTTTTTTGGCAATTCCAAAAGTTTCGGGTTTCGGATTATAGCTTCCGAAACCTTATCCAAAACTCGAAACCTCAACCGAAACCCGAAACCTCAACTGAAACCCGAAACTGGCAAAACATCTTTAAAGCTGTTTTCATAAATTCTGGGACACCTAAAAATTTTCTTGTTTCCCAGAATCTTTTCGGTTTTGTCTGGTAAATTACCTAGCTTTCTAGAAACTACATTGCTATTTTCGAACCTTCAGTCTGGAGACATCAATGTAGTTTCTGGAGAGTTGAGTAATTTACCGGACGAAACCTAAAATATTCCGGGAAACAAGAAAATTTTTAGATGTCCCAGAATTTATGAAAACAGCTGTAAATAATTGTTGGTATCAAAAGGCATCAAATACTTATTGATTCATCATTGGCAATTTTTTTGAAACCAGATTTTAAAAAAAAAACCAGAATAAACCGAAAATAAAATGATCTATATAATGTTATAATTTATTCAAAAATAATTTTACATTTTGGGTTCATTAAAAATAAGTCAACTTTATAATAAATTTTAAAAGCTTCAATATTATATTGTTGAGTTTGATTATAGTTTCGGGGTTTCGGGTTTCGGAGGTTTGATTTTTTTTAAAAAATCCGAAACTAGTTTCGGATTAGAACCCTTCCGAAACTAGTTTCGGGTAGGTTTCGTTTCGACGCCATCTTTGGTTCTAATGCATTCTTGTTCTATGACCTGTTGGGACGACAGTCATTTGTACTAATTTTTATTGCATTTTATGACCTGTCGGGACGACAGTCAAAAGAAAAAAGAGAAAATGTGAGCGATACTAAAAAGGTTGCGTAAGTTGCAGAAGGGA